TTTTGTGTCAGCAATGAGAGAAAAGTAACAAAGACAGTGGGTCTAGTTTTAGTCTTTGGCATGTAGAAAGCCAGTTTTTCCACCACCATTTATTAAAGAGGCTGTCTTTCTTCCAGTGAACATACTTGGCCCCTTTGTCAAAGATTGGGTGACTGAGTGTGTTTGTAGTTGTGTCTGCATCATCTAATCTGTTCCATTGATCCTCAGATCTGTTTTTTGCCAGTACTGTGCTGAATTTATCAGAGTAGCTTTGTAGTATAATTTCAAGTCAGGGATTGTGATGCCTCCTGCCTTGCCTTTGTTGCCCAGGATTTTTTTGTTATTCTAGATCTCTTCTGCTTCCAGATCAATTTTAGGAATGTTTTCTCCAGACCTGTGAGGTATACTAATGGTATTTTAATTGGGATTGCATTGAATCGGTACAACACTTTTGGGAGTATGGCCATTTTCACAATGTTGGTTCTTCCTACCCATACACAAGGAATATCTTTCTATTTTCTGAATTATAGGTGGGTTTTTTTTGTTTGTTTGTTTTCATTTATGTCTTTTTGAGACAGGGTCTTGCTATGCAGTTCAGACTAGCCTTGAGCTCACTTTGTAGCCCAGGCTGGTTTTGAACTCCAACGATCCTCCTGTCTCAGCCTCCTGAGTGCTGGGATTACAGGTGTGCACCACCATGCCCAGTAGGTGGTTTTAATTTACTTTTTGCTTCTCTGTGTTTTTCAAAATATTTATATTAGTCATGTGGACGTTTATAATTCAAAACAGTTGTTTTTTAATGTCATAAAATAGTTTAATGTAAAAATTATTTAATATTACAAAATAGTCTTTCTTAGTATAAAAGTAGTAGAAGGGGATCATTAAAAATTTGAGCTGGGCATGGTGGCACACATCTGTAACCCAAGTTTAAGCCCAGCCTTGGGAATTTAGTGAGAACCTGTCTCAAAATAAAAATGTAAAAATGCTAGGGATGTAGCTCCATGCAAAGGCACTTGGTTCAATCCCTAGAACCACAAAAAAAAAAAAAGAGAGAAAAAAAGGCAATTGAAGATGCTGTTTTTGCTTTCGCTGGAGCATAAGCTAGATCAGGAGTCAGCAAACTTCCTGTCAAGGGACAGACAGTGGATCTTCTCCGTGTGCAGACGTACTCCCTCCAGCATGGCGTTCTTCATTTACAAACGCAGGCAGTGGGCTGAACCTGCCTCCTGGGCCAGTTTTCACACCCTAGACTTAAATGAACAAATAAACCCAAACAAATGCCAAGGAAAAAAATTAAGATGCCGACTGACCCCCACAGGCGGAAGAAGGCGGCCGTTTGGTGTGTCTCACGTGAACATCATTCCGCTCAAATGCCTGTGTTTCTGCATCGCCTGCCGTGTGGCAGTACTTCCTCGTGTTTAAGGTCAATGATAACAGCCCTGCTTGACCTGCTGAGCACCCCCGCTTCACCCCTGATGTGACGTAGCAGCTGCCGGTGCAGCTTTCATCTCCAGGGCACCTGGACAGAGGTCCCAGCAACCTGCAGATCCACGTCGCTGGTAAGAGCATCCAGCCGTGGGAAACTGGAGAAGATGCTGCCCCAAACGCCCAGCTAACAAAGCTGCTGTATCTTTTTTTATTCTTTTTTTTGGCAGTGCTGGGGCCTTAACCCAGGACCTTGTACATTCTGGGCAAGTGCTCTACCGTGGAGCAGCATCCCCAGCCCACAGAAACTCAGTGTTATCAGTCCTTCTGCGCACAAGCGGAAGCAACAGGAGAAAAGAGCCAGCTCCTCAGGTTATGTTCCCTTCACCTCATTTTAAGTTGGATGACTCCAAATGGCCTAGGGAGTGCTCTGTAATCTTACCAGTAGACAACCTTGAGTCCCAGAAGTTTCAGGCCAGCATGTTCCCCCAGCCGGCTATAATCCCTGGGCTCTTGTGATCATCGCTGAGTCAATAAATATTTATTAAGCACTTATTCCATATTCAGAACTAGGCACCGTGGATCATACATATGAATAATATGCTTCTGCCTGTTCCCCAAGAGGGCTCCTGGTCCAGGGAGGGAGACAACTGCAGACCAGCACAGATAACGTGAGGCTGCCGTGGGGACAGTGTGCGGGATTCTGACCAAGCACCACGGGATTCAAAGTGGTGCAAATGATGCCACCAGAGATCTGAGGGCGGGTGAGTCACAGCAGATGTGGCACTTTGGGGGTAGAGCTGGAAAGCAACTCTTGAGCTCCCCAATTTCAAGACACGTTTGTCACATCTCTAAATCAATATGTGTCGTGGTTGTCGGCCAGTAGGTGGATAATCGTGCCACAGTCACCACTGGCTGACACCGCCAGACAGTCAGGAGGATGTCAGCACCCAGGCTCACAGCTGGGGGTCAGCTGTGAGGGAGAAAAGTCCAGGGAAGAGCGGGTCCCAGGAGGATGGTGCTGTGCAGAAAGCCAGAGTGAAGTGACCCAGGATAAAAATGTTCTGCAGCCGGGCGTGGTGGCGCATGCCTGTAATGCCAGCACTCGGGAGGCTGAGGCAGGAGCATCAATGCGAGTTCAAGACCAGCCTGGGCTGCAAAGTGAGCTCAAGGTCCGCCTGAACTGCATAGCGAGACCCTGCCTCAAAAAGACCAAAAGGGGCTGGGGATTTAGCTCAGCAGCAAAGCACCTGCCTGGCAAGTGAAAGGTCGTGAGTTCGGTTCCCCGTACCAGAGAAAAACCAAAAAAAAAAAAAAAAAAAAAAGACCAAAAAAAAAAAGTTCTGCGATTAGACAGTGACGATGGCCAAACAACCTTGTGAATAAACTGAAAACCACCAGGTCGGACCTTGAAAAAGGGTGTATTTCATGGCATGGAAATTATAGCTCAATATTTTTAAGTGGGGAGAAAGTTTTGGAAGATTAGAACACTTCTGGAAGATCTGCACAGCTACACTGCCCTGAACACGCCCAGTCTCGTCTGATGTGGGAAGAGACACAGATGGAGTCTAGTTAGACTTGGGTGGGAGACTGGCAAGCTCGAGGTCTTGAGTTCGATTCCCAGTACCAAAAAAAAAAGGGGGGGGCGGGGATATGGCTCAGTGGCACAAGCGCCTGCCAGACTGGGGTGGGAGACAGGCTCCAGAGGGGTGTGTGGTGGTGATGGTTACACAGTGTGAACGTCCTTCGTGCCACTGAACTTACACTTTTAAAATGGCTGACATGGGAGCCAGGCGTGGTGGCGCAGGCCTGTGATCCTAGCACTTTGGGAGGCTGAGGCAGGAGAATTGCTGCAAGTTTGAGGCCAGCCTGGGCCACACAGTGAGTTCAAGGCCAGCTCGAACTATATAGTGAGATCCTGCCTCAAAAAATAAATTATCAAATGGCTAACATGGTACATTTTATGCTGTGCACATTTTACCACAACTTTTTTGAAAAGTGAGGGAGCAGAGGAGGATGCGACTGCACGGTTTCCCCACCTACTCACAAACCACGCAGTGACTCAAGCTCGGTCTCAGTTCTGGGGAAACTGTGCACCTCGGAGGGCCTTGTGACTGCAGCTCCCTGTGACGTAAGAGTCAAAGTGGGGCGTTGTCAAGTTCACGAAATGTAAGCGAATCATCGCTCACCCCCGCAAGGTAGCAACAGGAGAGGTGGAGGTTTTAGACATAAACCCTAAAATTCTGGGCTGAGCACTGTGGTAGCGGACAGGAGCAGAGCTGGCATGATGAGGCTCCCGCAATCCTGCAAAGAGAACACTCGGCGCTCAGGAGGCCCCTTTCCTCTCGTCTTGAAAGACCCCAGCTCTGGTCCCACGCCCGACGCTAGAAGCCCAGAGGACGGGCAGCAAGAGCGACGGGGACAAAGAACAAGCCTGCCTGGAACGGCCCCAGGCCTCCTGTCTCTCCTCACTCGGGATCCCCCCGGCCGCCTTTAGGTGCTCTTGAGCCAAGTGGAGATGGAACAGCTCGTGGCCAGCATTAAATTGGCACAGTTCCTCCCCGCAGCTTGCACAACCACCTGTGGCAAGCAGCCCACCAAAGTAAAAGCCACGGTGGGAACACATAGCACCCACCAAGGAGCCCAGACACCTGAAGATGAAAGCTTTTTCGTTGTTGTTGCTTGTTGGGAATCAACCCAGGGCCCTTGCACATGCCAGATAAATGCTCTACCACTAAGCCACAGGCCAGGCCCATGTGAGAGATTTTTAAACCACTGAGTTAACTAAGATCAGAAGTCTCAGCCAGGCATGGTGGCACACGCCTGTGATTCCAGCATTCTGGGAGGCTGAGGCAAGAGGATCACAAGTTGGAAGCTAGCCTGGGCAACTTTGTGAGACTCTGTCTCAAAATAAAAAATAAAAAAATAAATTAAAAAAAAAAAAAAAACCAGGCTGGGGATGTAGCTCGGTGTGAATGCCCTGGGTTCAATCCCCAGCACCTCAAGAAAGAAAAAGGATCAGATTCCAGTGTTCTCTGAGTGAAGCCATCCGGTCAGCCCTTCTCCCAAGACTGTGCTCGGCCTAACTGAGCCTGAAGCTTCGCACTTAACTCGTGGTCTGTGCTTAGCTTTGACTCCATCAAGCTGGAATTGTAGGCAAACGCTTCCCTGATCACGTACTGCCTTCTTGCCACGCAGCCCTAAAGGTTATTTTCCAGGCAAGTTTTCATCGCAGCAAGATGAGCCCCTTGTTCGTTCTGACCCCCAGTGCTGGAGCTCACACACGCCACCTGCAGGTGATGGGGCCCAGCGGTCCAGGACGGGAGGGCGCCCACCCGCCGCGAGCACGCTGTGTCCTCCGGGAGGCTAAGCTCCCCTCGCTTCCGAAGCAAGCACCACCGACTTTGCAGGATCCGCGCGCTTTAAAGGCAGAACAGAGCAGAGAGTCAGAGCTTGTTGTGGGATCTAAGAGACTCAAATCTCTGCTCTGTCATTTATGAGCTGCGTGGCCAGGGCCCTCAGTTTTACATCCCTAAGCCGCAGTTTGTCTGCAGGATGAGGATCGGAATAATACCCACGTCACAAAGGTTCTTGTGAGGTCAAACGAGATCACGCATGTGAACCGCTTAGCACGCGCATGGCACACCGTAAGTACAAAAGAGCAGAATATCGCTCGCACAGCTGCAAGCGGGCGGGGGTTGACGAGCTCTTCTATCTCGCCAACAGCAAGGCAGTCAGATGGTTCCTGCTGAAGCAGAATTTTTCCAGGTTTTGAGGACAATCCCCACGAGAAATGCTTTTTATTTTGCAATCCAGGCTAAACAAACATGAGATACATGACCGAAGCAAAACAAGTTTTATCAAACAATAATTATCCTTGCTATGGCAACCCGCAAAGGACTTTTGGCCTTTCAGTTCTTTTGTTAGTCTACTTTTGTTTCTTGGTTTATTTTTGAAAATTTTCTAACTTACAGAAGAGTTGAAAGAATAATACAGAAATACCCTTCACCTACAGCAGAGTTCCTCAACTGCGGCACAAGTGATCCTTGGGGCTGGATAATTCCTTGCTGTGGAGAGCTGTTCTGTGCATTGTAGGATATTTAGCGGTTCCTTAGCCTTTTTTTTTTTTTTTTTGGTCTTTTTGAGACAGGGTCTGGCTATGCAGTTCAGACTGGCCTTGAGCTCACTTTGTAGTCCCAGCTGGTCTCAAATTCACAATAATCCTCCTGCCTCAGCCTCCCCAGTGCTGGGATTACAGGCATGCGTCACCATGCCCAGCTTAGAGGTTTCCTTAGCCTTTACCCACAAGGCACCATTAGTACCCCATCCACACACCAGTTTGTACAAGGAAAACTGGCGCTAGATCTTGCCAGGCACCCCCGGTAGGTGAATTCATTGCTCTTTGAGAACTACTGAGCCAGCCTTACGAACAGTTAACATCTTGTCACTCTGCCTTTCTCCTGAGTACACACCCATGCACACACACACACACAAACATAGACAGTTTTTGGTGTAATTATTTGAAAGTAGATTGCAGGCTTCATGATACCTGCCACCTAAAATACTTCACTGTGCATCTCCTAAGAACAAAAGCATTCTCTTACACGGCCGCAAAGCCACTACTGCCCCTGAACGATTCACGTTCGTGCGGTGATAGCTTTTTTCCTTCTGTGTTGCTTGTAACCTGCTGGATTAGTTTCACTCCACTGTGGGTCATGATCTGCAGTTTGGGATTCAAGAGGCTCTCAGAAACTAACACAGCCCTCTTCGGGAGATCTGTAAAACCAGACCGAGGCCATCCCGGCTGCAGAAGGGCCGCACAGGAGGTCACAGCGCCGAGCGCACGTTTACAGGAGTCTTTCCGACACGCACTGCTCTTTCCCCCTCTGACGGCTTCCACCTCACAGAGCACGCCCAAGGGGCACAGCGAGCAGACGGGCCAGCCGCCCCCCCTGCAGGGGACCCAGGAGCTCTTCCAGGCGCCGGTGGGCACCGTGAGGTGTGTGCCCTGGCCTGTCTGCCCGGGGCTGGCAGGGCCTGCCCAGCTGGGTGCACAGCAGCCTGACCACATCACAGGTCCGGGCTGGGGCTCAGGCTCAGGCAAGCTGCCCACCCCTTCCCTGTCCTCCCAGCTCCTTTCCTGTACCTGTACTGGCTCCAGGAAAGTGGTTATGAGCTGGTCCAGAAACTGCCAACAGGCCAGGGCCAAGAAACATGAAAGTACGTGAGTCACTGGTCATGTTGGAGTCTCCTGGCCTTATAAATCCGGCCTTTGAGTCTAGCATCAGGATCTAAACAGCAGAGACTTGAAAACTAACACTACCAAAGTGGAAGGGCAACCAGCTCACCTCCAGAGCCTTCTGCCCCGTCTCCTGCTGGTCTGGAAGGACTGCGGAGCAAGAGGCACGAGGAGGCCTCCAGCCCTGGCTAACAAGGGGCCGCAGTCCACACGTCCTTTGTTTGCTCATAAAGGCCTGAAACCTGTGCAGGCCACACTCCCTAAAAGGCAAGGATTTCTCCAGCTGGAAGAGCAGAGGCAGATGCCTTAAATCAGCTCCCCTGTTGGAGGCAAAGGAACTGTCCACAGCCTGAAAAGCCAAGGGGAAATCCCCTAACCCCCAGGACGGATGCTTGATACAGGGCACAGTCACCGTGACCACAGCCCATCACCCCAAGAAGGGGCGGAATGCGGGTGCCACATCCCTGCCCTGAGTACGGGAGAGACAGGCTACCTAGGGGGTTTCAGGGACGGGCCATCAAAGGAAATGAATTTGCCCAGAAATGAAGAAATGCCATCACTGTGGCATGCCCTATACTTCCCAGGGAATCAGAAGAAAAGGTAGGGACGTTTCCAGAGCTGGCAATGAGCGAGAACTGCGACAGGAAGCAGCTATGGACCGGCGCACCACAGAGCTTCCCTGAGTGCCAACCGCCGTCACCTGCGGCCACGCCCACTGCAACTCCGAGGCGTTATCGAAGCCCACGATTGTTCCCTTTACATAATTAGTTTTCTTCTTCGCCGCTGAATTACAGGGCCGTGAGAAGCTCGTCTGCTCCACTCATTATTGTGTCCTCACGTCTGAGAACAGAGCCCGGGACACACAAGCAGTGCTCGAGACCTCTGACCCCTGAGCCGGTGAGCACACAGCAGACGTTCACCTCCCACGGCGCTGGAATCCGGGGGGGGGGGCGGTCTAAGGCCTAGGGGCCAACACACTCAGTGTTTGCTGAGAGCTCTTTCCGTGGATTGCAGGGGGAAACGGGGTCTTGTGCCGTCTCTTCTGATAACTGCACCGACCCCAGCATGAGGCTCCACAGTTGTTCAGACCTCATCTAAATCTCTTTGTGTCCCGGAGGTCCCGCCTCCAGACAGCACCACAGAGGGCTTGAGGCTTCCAGCACAGTTCGGTCTGCAGCACATGCTTTTCCCTCGACGACTGCATGGTGAGTCCAGTTTGCTTCGCTGAACAGAGGAAGAAGGCAAAGCTCAGTGTTACAGTTACAGGGTGTGGTACTGGACATTGAACCCAGGGCCGGCACACTGAGCTATATCCCCCGGCCTTCTTTACTTAACTTGGAGACATGCTATCACTAAGTCACTATGTTGCTCAAGCTGGGCCTGAATTTGCTATCCTCCTGCCTCAGCCTCCCAGATTGCTGGGCTTACAAATGCTTACCACCATGCCTGACTTACAGTTGGGATCTTAAGTGTCCTCCCAAGGTCTTCGTGGTAAAGGCTGGCTGCCCAGGGTGACGCTATTGGGAGCTGGTGGGGCCTTCAGGAAGTTGCCATTGTGCTGGGAGGTTTTTAGGTGACTGGAGAAGTGCCATGGAAGGCACCCCAGGACCTCCCCGGACTCATTCACTGTCTCCCTCTCTCTCCCTCCCTCTCTCTCTCTCCCCCTCTCTTCTTAGTCATGAAGTAGGTGGTTTTCACTACGATAATATCCTGCCTCACCACACACCCAAAGGCAACAGGACCAAGCAATTATGAACTGAACTCTGAGTCAAAATGAACGGATTTGTAGATTCATTATCTTTTCTTTTATAAACCGATTGTGTCAGGTATCCGGTACGGTACCCACACCCAGAGAGGCCCCAGTCACTCAGCAAACCCGTGCTCAGCCTGGGCCTCCCAACCAGAGCTCCTGCCTGCAGTTCCCACACCGCGTAAGACCCATGGAGAGTCAAAGATTATCTTTGAAAAAATGAAAATAAATATTTTTACTTAAAAAAAATCACCTTTATAATTTCTTTCTTCCCTGTGGGATGCCCTGGCACGATGGCTTTGCTTGCCTCGGCTCGACTCTAAAGCCACAGGACACTTTCTGAGCTGGAGGAAGCCTCCTGAGCCCCTGCCTCTCAAGGAGCTGCACGGGAGCCTTGCCCGACTGAGAAGCGCCTCAAGCTTGTGTTCAGCGGCTCGCTGCTGGAGGCTCCACTCCCAGAGCTGGCCTCCTGGTAGCAACAATCTGATACGTTCAGAATTGTGGAGCTGCTCAATACAGGGGGAGGTTAATTAGATAAGTATTTGAGGAGCCCGAGAGAGACTGTGGCTCAAATAAAGGCATCAACAATTTGGCCAGATCTGTCCAAACTAGCCCCAGACAGGGTACCATTTCAAGGGGCACCACCTGGACATGTTAAGAGGAAAAGAAAAAAACAGGAATTCCCAAGAGAATTCCTGCAGTTTTTCAGCTACTTCAGATTAGCACGTGGGAGAAGCAGCATTTGGGGCGTTTACGGGTAGAAGGATCTTCCTGAAGCCTTTCCCACTGCCTCCTGTGACTCCCATCCCATCAGCCAGCTGTCTCGCCCTGCTCCCGTGCGTGGAGCCATTGAGAGCCACACTGATTGATCATCAGAGCCCAGCAGGGATATTTCTTGTCTAGCATCAAGATAGTTCCTTCCCTTAAATGCCCTAAAATTAGGCAGTCACACACATACTTTCTTCCCCTTCACCCCACTCCTGCCTCCGCCAGCATCTCCCAGATCTCAGCCTAGAAAGGCAATGGCTACCACATCACCTTCAACCGGGGCTCACTGAGGACTGAGGTGTCCTGAAGCGGCTACAGCTGAGCGGTGCTCGGCTCCCGCATCTGCAGCTCCCTAGAGAAGGAGCCGGGCATCCTCTGCTCACGGCCTGTCTCCCAAGCCCTGGCTGTGCTCTACCAGCTGTATTTCATTTTCCCCCAAATCCACTCTGAATGAACGAATAAATCGCAGCTCAGAAAAGTACTGTATCATGTACATAGCTGCAAATCTGCCTCCGAAACCCTTGCTCACTTCATTGCGCCGTACGATTTCCCAACTCGTCATCATCCTACCGTATTTCGAGCTGAAAATACAGAGCATTCTATTCTCAAAACTGACTGACTAGCTGGATATGGGGTATATGCCTGTAATACCAGCACTAGGGAGGCTGAGGCAGAAGGATTACCAACTCAAGGCTAGCCTGGGCTACACAACGAGTTCAAGTTGAGCCTGGACTACTTAGTGAGACCCTGTCTCAAGACAGCAACAATCTAGCTATACTAAACTTAGACTAGAAAATTAAAAGCTTTTTTAAAAAAAATTAATCACCAATAGTGTTAGAAAATTTCGGTTAAAAAAAAAAAACACGGTCAAAGGCTAACTTTTTTTTTTTTTTTTTGAGACAGGCTCTTGTCACATAGTTCAGGCTGGTCTTGAATTTACTGTGTAGCCCAGGCTTGCCTGGAACTCACAGCAATCCTCCTGCTTCAGCCTCCCCAGTGCTGGCATTACAGGTATGTGCCATCACACCTGGCTCTAAGATTTTCATGTCAGCATAGAATGAACCTACATGGACAAAAGGACTGAATACTGTAGCATTCGCTCTGAAAAAGCCAAAATGCTACTCTTGGCCAAATCTGTGTCCTCATCCCTCAGCAGGGAGACAGCCAGCAAGGGTAGAAGTGGGTCCCCTGAGGGGTTCAGTACAACCTCCTGTCGTCAGGCTGCGACCTGCTGGGGTGAAGCACGGCAGAAGGAGTGCACTGCTGGGCCAAGGGTGGCCTTTCTCATTGGAAACGAAGTTCTGAGCGGAAAGCACCCTCCTGCTCTAACAGGCCATTCTGGGTGGGAAGAGAGAGGCACAGTTACGGCCGGACTCCTCAGCAGAATACCTCAGGAGCCGGGCAGGGCGTCCCTCCCACCCTGTGCTGCGCTCATTGAAAACAAAAGGCGGTGGCCAATGGGCCGAGGGACTCCTGCAGCTTCCTTCCTTTCAGTGGGCCCACAGACGCCCGCCAGCCCGGAGGGCTCTCCAGGGGAAGAAGGTCTCACTCTCCCGACAAGCAGCCCCGCCTGAGGCCAACACCAGCAAGGGAGCCGCTGACACCCTTCAGCCTGCGCTGGCATCTGGGGAGCCCGATCCTGACCTACGGCCACTGTCTTCACGGCCCTGGGCCGTCCACAGCACAAAGACCAGAAATGTGCTCCATGACCTCTGTGATCAGCGCTTTCATTACAGGAGCGCCAGGCGTGAAGCCAGACTGCAGCGGGAGGCCCAGAGGTGAGAGGACCTCAGAGCAAAGGGGACTCGGGGAACCCAAAGTTTAACGGCCTCAGCCTGCGGAGGGCCCGGCATGTGCTCCCCAAGGCTGTGTACCTCGGGAGACCCCAGGCCCGCTCCCTGCCGTCCCTCCACAGCCTCAGGGCAAGGGAACCTGGCGACGCTCCCCTCCGCTGCACCAAGCTCGGGCGACGCCCCGGCCGCTTTTCCTAACTGGCTGAGCAGCGCTGCTGCAAAGGCCGTGGCTTCTGACTCAGCCACTCATTTGACCAGGCTGCTGCGAGGCCCGTGGTCCCACCTGTCTCCCCCTTTCTGTAGCTCGTTACCCCAACTTCATCAGCACCAGTGGCTTCCACAGAGATCAGCAAGCTTTATTTTGGGGTTTAGTGCAGAACCCCAAGATCTAATAAGAATATTCTTACACAAAACGAGAATCTGATGAAACTGGAAAAATGCACCTTGGACTTCGTGTTTCCAGGTAAAGCAAAACTCCTGTAGTGTACCACACGGGCGGGGTCAGTTGGTCGGCTGGGTGCTTAGCTGGTTTTTGCACTAGTGGGGATTTAACCCAGGGCCTCGAGCTCCCTAGGCAAAAACTGTACTGCTGAGCTGAACCCTCAGCCCCCTTCTTTATTTGTTCTGACACAGGGCCTCACTGAGTCCCCAGGCTGGCCTCACATTTGAAATCCTCCCTGTTCCAGCGCCCCAGGTAGCTGGGACTGCGGGCATGCGGGCCACACCCAGGGCAGGGAAGTGCTTCACTGCAGCTCCTCGCTAACTCCACGAAATTCTCCAGTGGGAGACCCAGGTTTGGCTGCTCCAAAAGAGGTCTGACGTCCTGGTGTTTAAACAATAGAACTCAGCGCTGCTTTTCGAGAGTCGAATTCACGCGATGGGGGCAGCAGCGCAGCTCCAGGCTGGGGACCCAGGCTGTCCAGGGCAGCGGTGTTACAGAACCAGGCCTGTTCCGCCCACTGCACAGGATGCCAACCGCTGGAAGACAAGCTTCGCAGAGGAGAAAGAGTTTCCTCACAGGCAGCCCTGTGCGGAGATGGGAGAGAAGCCTCCGCTCTGCCCCTCAAGGATAAACTTGGGGGCCCCTAGAGGCAAGGTGTGGGGGAAGATGGTGCGGGGTTAAGTTTTCCCTCGGGTGCAGGTCCCCGTCTGCATGGTCCACATGTGTCACGGAAGTCAACTTCTTTCCCAGCGGCAGCGCAAAGGACAGGCCAGTCCGGCCACCCCCTCCCTTCCAGGGCCGGCCTGGGGGCTGCACACCTCCCTGTCCCTTGCCCAGACCTGCAGTAGCGGAGGGTGCAGTGACCTCCAGGGAGGCTGTACCAGGGCAGCCTTGTGCTCAGCTGAAAATTGGATTTTTACATCAAAATGGAAGAGAGATATGGTCTTTACCCAGATGCTGTGGTTTCTCCTTTGCCTTGCAGGGGGGCTGGGGTCGAGCTCAGGGACCGAGCGCTCTCCTAGCTTGAGCGAGGCCCTGCGTGGATTAAAAATAACTTGGTTGTTCAGCAGCTCTTTAGTGGGAAAATCAGTGCCCCGTGTGTAAAATTAGGTTAGAAATATGCTGAGCTACTGAGCGTGATGGCACCACACAGTTCGAGCGTCCTAGGAATCACACGTACCCGTCACCGTCCTAAAGGCCAAGACGAGGCCCATTGGTGGTTAATCCATGGCCCAGGCATAGAGTTTGCTTGAGAAATGGTTTAATGTGGAGAAGAGTGGTAAACAGGGCAGGGAAAGGAGTTTGGAGTCCCACTGGGGAGGCCCCAAAGCACAAACAAGGACAAGGATGTTCTTTCTTTTTTGTTTGTTTTTGTTTTTTGTCATTTTGAGACAGGGTCTCACTATGCAGTTCAGGCTGGCCTTGAGCTCACTTTGTAGCCCAGGCTGGTCTCGAACTCGCAACGATCCTCCTGCCTCAGCCTCCAGAGTGCTGGGATTACAGGTGTGCACCACTACGCCCAGCGAGGATGTTCCTTCTTTATTTTATTTTATTTATTTATTTTGGAGGGTTTTTTCCGGTAACGGGAATCAAACTCACAACCTTGTGCTTGCCAGGCAGGCGCTGTGCTGCTGAGCTAAATCCCCAGCCCTGATGTTCCTTCTTTATACAGCTGGATTTAACTTTGGTCTAACATGTTCAGGTTTATAGAAATTATTGTGTTTTGCTACAAATAACAACAGGATACATAACATTTTTCTTTTCAAAAAATTTGTTATTGTTGTTGTTATTGTTACAGTGTTAGGGGCTGAACCCAGGGCCTTCACACTGAGCTACATCCCCAGCCCTTTGTATTTTTTGAGATGGGGCCTCACTAAGATGCCCAGACTGGGCTCCAATTTGTGATTCTCCTGCCTCAGCCTCCCAGGTAGCTAAAATTACAGGTATGTACAGCCACATCCAGCTGCACTGGCTTTTCTTAGACAAAAATCTTTAGACAGTATTTGTTCCTGAAGGGGCGTCAGTCCTGTTCTTAGCTGTCGTGGACTAACTGAACATCCTGCCTGTTTACTAACAAAGCACCTCCTCCCCTCCCCTGGTCATCCATGAAATGCCCTGGACTGTTTTTAGCTGAAAGGGAAATCTCTGAGCTCTTTAAAAATAAATGAAATGAAAATGAGATATAATTACTGTCAGTTGCAACCATAACCATA